TGTCTGGAATGGAATAGGGTTTCCTGCCTAAGCAGGGGGTTGGACTAGAAAACCTCCAAGGTCCCTACCAACTCTGCTATCGTATTGTATCACACTTCACGAAAGTAAGCATAAGATGCCTGCAGGAATTTTTTCAAACTCCTCAATAACAACTTCACACTGGGTCACATTACTGGGGAGAAACAAGTGGCTTAGAATGGACTAGCTGGCAATATATTTAGATACTGCCCAAGCCCAATTGTTTCTCTCATATTGATGTATTGGAAGAATTTTAACTGGTATGTTTTCCTCCTCTGCAGTCCCCTGCTAAATCTAGTACATTTTTAATCTTTCTTTTGCTGATTTCTCCTTTTACCAAATTTGATTCTCTTGGGTTGGGGAAAAGAAGAGTCAATTGAGTCAAGATAAAGTCCTAGTGCCTTTGAAGACACCTTCATGTTGTTTCCTTGACAATGTACTGTAATACTTTGTCAATGCCTCCTTTCAATTTTTATTTTCCTATAAAATTTATCCAGATTTTCACAGGGTACTCCTCAAAGCATTAACCAGATCCAAACAAATTTAGCTTTTAAAGATCAATCAAGATTAGTTATTTACAGCACATAGTCAGGTGGTTACAGCTATATGCATTCCAAATGAAATATGCATTTTCTTTTCTTAGTCTCAGGCCTCACTTGGTCATTCAAATGCATACAAAAGGGCACACTTCCATAACTGGACAGGGTCAGGACAAAGATTAAATCAGATTTAATTTTAATTTTGGTAGTCAATATCATTAATGTATATATTATTCTGTCACAATCAAAATTGGTGGCAATTTTTGAAGATCCTCTGGTTGCCATCTTCAAGGCTTTAGGGAACTCGATGCTCTAGTAATACTTCACTATTCTAGAACAAGACTAAACAGCAAATTTCATTGTAGATATACAGCATTAATACAATCTTGCATACAATAACTGTCTGGCTAAAACAGAAAGCATTAGCCTCACAGCGCATAAGTTAAAGTCTGATCACGTGGTACCTTGACTTATAACAATAATTTATGACCAAAATTCCAATCCCAATTAGGACTGTAAATTGACAACAATCTACCTTATCTGCTTGAGTAATAGCTAGCAGAGAAGGGAGGTTTGTAAGTATGATTATTTAAATACAGTATGTCTAGAAACTCAATACAGAAAACTGAGTCACAGAACACTAACTTTTGTGTCATATACAATGCTAATCCTTATTAAGATTAAATTTAAAAACAGACAAAATTGAGAGACAATTTTGAAGTTTAGAACCTCAACTTTCTTTGGCAAAGTTAGTAAATCATATTTAAGCATCTGGAAGTTTACCTTCTGTTGCCTTTATAAGCATGAAATCCCAGAGCCTGCATAAAAGGTCCAGAACAAATTCAATATACAATATACAATACAATAGGAGAGTGGAAGGGACCTTGGAGGTCTTCTAGTCCAACCCCCTGCCTAGGCAGGAAACCCTATACCGTTTCAGACAAATGGCTATCCAACATCTTCTTAAANAAAAAAAAAAAAAGTAAAAAAATAATGCCCTCCCACTTATGTTTATATATAGTAAAGACTGATCCAAACTTAGTACAATGTTTCATATCTCAACATGTCCTTTAAATTAATTTAAAACTGATTGCAGAGGTGATACTGACAATATTTGACTATGACATAAGGCTGTGTTCACATAACATGCTATACATTAGGGTAAAATGTATTTGGTAATATACGATTCATACATCTTGAGAAACTAGCCAATGTCTTTGCATGTTGTATGAACCAGACCATAATATGGTGCATTTGAGCATTGCATGTTGTGAAAACACAACAGTTACAATTTGTTAATGTGATTTAGGGTTTATCTGGGATCCAGTGGTACTCATGGAACACCACAGGAAGATCTAAGGCCTCTTTCTCTAGTTTTCTGGCTGAAAATTCACCAGTTGAATGGAAATCCAGTTACATAATATTGGACATAGTCCAGAGTTCAAAGTAAGCAGTCTACTTTTCCAACTTCGTATTATTAAAAAAACTCCAAAGGCTATTTGGCTCCCGTTCTACAGCAAATATAATTAATTCTAAATAGGGAAAAGCACAAATATTTACCTAAATGGGTGGCCTTCATCTGATTTCTGGACTGCTTGGATAACTCCTTTGTATATTCTAAAACTGATGGTCACTGACAGGAGGGCCAAGCCAATATAAGCTATCACACTCACGATACTGAACACTGTTAAAGAAAGAAGCAGGAACAAGCTGGCTCCAAACACCACACCAGTCTTCTTAACGTCTCGCCAGTATAGGAGGTCAACCACTAAGGGAAAGTTAAAGGACAGGAGATTAGAATGCAGTCTCTAATATTACAGCATAGCAACAAAACCTAAATGTGGTATTAACTGAAATGTAACAATAACAAATATACATGCATACACACACACACACACTTTATTCATGCATTAAAACTTGTACAATATTTTCTAAGAATGATAACCAGAAAATGATAATCTGAGAAATGTGAAGCTGTTTGCTTTGTTTCTTCATACCCTGCTGAGATAAAAGAGAATAATCAAACACCATATTTGCTATCCACCAGGAATACAAATGCTTACTCAACTTTTTTAAAAATTGTGGTCTAAAATAGCATCCATGGAAACCTTCCTCACTTTATCCTGCACATAACATGCAATGGAAATGGCATATTGTAAAGCAAAATCACTAGCCTCTGTCATCAGTTTCAACTTCCCAGAATGTGCTTGGTCCCACCAAATGGACTCCATAAACTTTCTTAGAAAATGAAAATGATGTCAAGCATGCCTAATCTGCCCATCTTTCTCTCTCTCTCTCTCTCTCCCTCCCTCCCTCTCCCTCTCTCTCCCTCTCCCTCTCTCCCTCTCACCTAAGAGGGTTGTTGCAGGAAAAATGGGAGGAGGAAGGTTTCTTGAGTATATTTGCTGCTTTGAGTTTTTGTAGAAAGTAATAAAAGTGGGATACAAACAAACAATCAAATGAATAATGGCTTCCAATTTCTGAA